AGAAAAGATCTGGACTGTGTTTTTCCTGGAACTGGCACTTGGAGGTATTTTTTAACTCACCAAAATGTTTATATTACACACAAATACCTGGCAGAAACAAACACTTGCAAAACTGTTGCTTACTTTGTAATGCAGTAATACTCTTACTTCTTTATGTTTAAAAATATTCATGCAAATATCCTAAATTGTTGGCTACTAATTGCATTTTAAAATTAAATCCTCATGTAAGACATAAATCATGCTTTTGCAACATATTTCTATCTAAATCTTAATCTTAAAGGCGAAGAACCTCGATATCTTTGTGTGGAGAGTCAGCTCAGTTCCAAAGATAAAATAAAATATCATAATCCAAAAACTTGAATAACTTAATCCAGAAATATTCCAGAAGTACGGAATATGCAATAAACCTATTGTATATCTGTGAGTTAAATTCATAAGCAACCTGTAAGCTTATGATCACATCTCATAAATAATCTTCCCTGTACTGAAGGAATCCTGACATGAAAACGTTTTCATTAAACAACTGAATTCTTTCCGTAGGCAACCTCATTTTGTGGCTGAACAGCCCAACACTTTAAACAACTCAAGGACAGTTCCTCCAGAGCATCCATAAGGCATATTTTTTACAGGAAATAAAAGAAACAAAAGAATAACTAGGGTAGTAATAATCCCAAATCCTTTCCCTGCCAAAACATGGGCAAACTATCTGCTCTAACAAAGGCCTTTCAGTAGTGAAAATACCTCTCAGTCAAGCTCACGTGCCTCCTGTTCAGTTGCAATCAGGGGTACGAGAAGAGCCGGAGAGACCTGCAGCTCCCGTGAGGGATCCATCAGCAAACCCTTTATCTTGACTGTGCCCAGGTCAGGCCTTGTTACTCTGGTGCAGGACTGCATCCTGAGGCAGGACCTTGACACGCAGCAACTAAAAGCCTGCAGGATCAGAGCTGTGCACTTGAGGGTGAAAATAGTAGTATTTCATTGACTATGTCTACTGACTTCTGCAGTAAGCCATAATACTGAGAAAATGACAAAATTCAATGAATAAAGAAGCACAGAAAGGAAAAGAATGACATGAAAGCCAATTCTGCCTTAGCATACACAGCTCTCACTCAAGTTTATGTGAGAGGAGGACCAGGCGGTAAGGCACAATCTGATCCAGTGTTTTTGGCAGTGGCTGTTGGTATCTACACTACTTCAAATAAATGGGACACCGAATCATTTGTTAATAATTGATATATACTTTATTATGGACATGAAACTATGATGACATGACACTGTGGTTATCAAAACTGTACAACGAAGCATTTCCACAAGTCTCTGAAATACTGAGCATAGTATGGAATACAAATGGGGTGTTCAGACTGGCCACAGGTTTTAGCGGGTCAATATCTCCCCCCTTTTCTTAATCTGAGATTTGGATCTCTAAGAAGTGCTTTTATGTATTCAGAAGTGAGAATATGGTGTTTGGAACTAGTGGGAACATGGCAGCGAAAATCTGATAATTCCACGAACAACCCCATGAATGACAAACAGACAGACAAACAATAGGACAGAACAGTCACCTCACAGGAAGGGCTGTCAGCACAACCAACAGCCCCATCTTCTTGTGAAGCATGAGGTAGATAAACATAACGACGACTGGTACATACATCAGAGGAGTTGCTACAAAGGGGCAGGGGGGGAAGTTTACAATCATCAACATCTAGAGACATTTTGCAAAATCCATTTCCATGTGAAAAATGCTACAAAAACAGCCGAACACAGAAAGCTCTGACTTCTTGAAACATTGAAATAATAATGTCAACATCAAATACTGTAAGAGATTGAGATTAGTGATTAGACAATGCATGACACAACAAAGAGTCTACTTGAGAGTTTAAGTATTTTAGTAATAGCTTTTATAGTTAGAAGGTATCTCTTTTGAAGCCCAATCCTTCCATTCTTGTGTAAGAAGTTCCTTTGGAGTCAACTGGATTACCCAGAAATTTACCACTTTGAGGTGACCCAGCACCAAGCAAGTCCCTCATAAGTCCCGTTTCAAAGCCGATCTCAGTCGATGCTGAGACATGAAGAGGACACAAGCGTCCTGCTGGTTTTCCACACCCTGTATTTTGTCCCATAAGAGCAAGTGTGGCAAGACCAGGTTCACCAGATTTGGAACTGGTGGCTTTGCAATTAACAGTCAGTAACTTACCACTTCTAACACAGGAACTTGCTGTAGATATGAATGGCTGGTACAAAAGCAGAGCTTACAAATATACTGGTACTGTAATCTGCAGACAGCTCAATAGCTGCTGGTAAGAACTACACATTTTTTGTAATAAAGCTGTTAACTGGGAATGCCCAGTTTTAATTCTGGCTGTTTAAGCAGAAATGTCTGTCCCATCTGCTAAATAATTGCACATAGTTTTGGTAATTTCCAATAGTGAACTAATTCAAATTGATTAAAATTTTTGAATTAAACAGCTGAGAACACTAAGTTTTGTTAATCTAAACTGTATTTAAAAATACAAGCCAATAAAATTGAATCTTTGATTTTTCATATATTTTTGGTTTATCCAGCGGTAAATATAAATCTGTAAGTTATTTTAAAATTAGAGTTTTTTAATAAAAACATTGATAATGCAGCATGTTTCTCTCAAAAATATACAATTAGCTATTTTACATAAAAGTTTTAAATCTGACCATCTCAACAACAGAATCTAATACTTCCTATGAGAAACTACTTAATAAAATATCTGAGGAAGAACAGGGTTAAAACAGGAAGAAGAATTTACAAAATATGTAAATTTCACAGTAACTGAAATTAAACATTTCATATAGAGTAACTTACATTTGTCTAAAACATTTAAATATATCTTTATACACAAATTTAATGTAGTAAAATATAGCTATGATTGAATTTAAAGACTCTAGTCTTCTTTGAAGACATCTTTAAAGATTTTACACATAGAATATGCTTATACAATACATTCTGCTGAAGGTTAGGCAAAGCGCTTTCTTTTCAACCACACAGGTAGCATGTTCATTCTCCTGACACCTCATAAAGCAACCAATCCTCTATCCTCTTGTGCATGAGCACAGTTCTGTTTCTGAGACAATTTCTGTTGATGTTAACACGTCTATTCCATGGGCCTGGTAACATTAAGCACTTTTCTTGTGCTCAACTGTATACACCAAATACCTCCATCGGCTCTGAAGCTGCTCATAATATGCAGAGCTGAACACCCCCAAGGATAAGGCATGTCCAATTACTCATATGCATACATGACTGCAGGACCAAATTTGATTTAAGATGAGTAATACTCTATCCGATCCGAGGCATTTATATCTATTGCATATCATGCACTTTGACCATCCTGGCATCAGCAAGGCACGAGGGTAGAATCAGCAAAAGAATCTGCAGGCCAGACTTTGGAGCAGACTGTCCCTAGTGTAATGAATCCCCTTCTCCTCCTGCAGAAGGCAAGTGACCAGTACTACAATTAATGGAAGTTACTCATCTCATGTTGAAAAGAAAACTTAATTTTCCTCAAAGGAGAAGGATCAGTAGAACACATTACAAATGCAAAGTGGCAATATAAAAGTCAAAGAATTACACATTCAGAAATATTTTCTTTCTCTTCACTTGGCATCGAATTGAAGGCCAGGATATGACAATGACACTGAAAAAAAATACTGTGACCGTCAGTACCTTTCTACCATTTCCACATTTCAACCCTACTTTGGGACCGATTGCAGTGTTCATACAACAGCTGGACACAAACAACTGCACAATTACCCTAACAGTTTCATTTTTATAGGCAGTAGTTTACACAAATAACAGGCTCTGTCATACATTCTTTGTACCCTCAAAACTATCTCTGAATTCAAAGGGAATTTGGGGGAGCTAAAGGGTTAAAACTGTCACCTATTTTTCTTCCAGCTCACATTACCACTTAAGTATAAACTGAAAAGCCAGTTTTTGTATGCATATATACAAATATATGTATATTTTATATAATTATACATATATATGTATATACGTGTGTGTGCACAAACATATACATGTGCATATACACACACAAAGCATATATACGGGCTTATATGCGCATACACACACATTTAAAGTGTGGAAGAAAATCACTGGGCTAATTTCCCAACTGTTAAAGTAGGTGTGTTAGGTTCTGTATATTTACACGTACATCTACCTGCATAAAGACATTGCCATTAAATGTACACACACATCTACATTAGTGCACAAGAACATTATCTGAATTAGCTTGTGTGTATGTCTGTATTTGATCTAATATGTCAAAAAAATCTCTTATTTAAGAGCTTTGGCCCACAGCTTTGGCCCACAGAAAACAGGAAAAGGGAATGTCAGAGTGTTCTCTAATCCAATTACGAAACCAATGCGTATTAAAACAAAATACCTGGAACAAACCTGAAGCTGCAAACACAACAGGAAAGCAAATGGGATGCTGTAGCAGTAAGCTTAAAGAAACAAAGGTTATTCAAAAGTGGCTAAACATAACTGAAGTAATAAAATGTTATTAAGCAAATAGATCTGACCTTGAGACTTTCTTGCTTAGACAAATAGAAAACTTTTGACCTAAGATCTTCTTTGCTCGGCTTATCTTGTTGAATTCCCTCCACAAATATACCAGTGAGAAGGTTTAGGTGGAAAAAAAAAGTTGTTATAGATAAAGCAGCATTTTTTCCAAACTGGCATGAGTTCACATTGAGGGTCCACAGACCCCTTAAACAGATTGCAGTACTGCAAAATTAGTAGCCTTGTCACATATAGCATAATCTGCTACAGAAGATCCAAAAGGCTGTGCTTACCCACACATCATGTGCACACATATACACACACATACACTCACACAGTGGCTTCCCCAAAAGAAAATCAGTTCTTTTTCTTTTCTTTCTTTGTTTTTTGTTTTGTTCCTGTAGAATTTTTTTTTTTTTTTCCCCCCTCCCGAAAGCAACCAAATTCACCCTTTTAACTTCGGAAAGCTGATGTCAACAAACAGTCCTTTGAAGCTCTGCTCTCCTAGGCTGCTCCTCTCTGCTCTCGCCGGCGTTAGGTTGTGCTGCTGCTGGAACAGGGGGTGCTTTGTGTGCTGCCAATGCTGTGCGCCGGGCTGCTGTTCTCGGAGGCTGGCGGCGACGTGGGGACCTGCTGTCTTCCGGCCGTTTCCCCTGAGGGAAGGGGAAGGAGGAGAGGAGGGCGGGGGAAGAAGGTTGTTCATTATCACAGAAAACAGTTCCTTCCAACTCGCCATCTCCCGGTGGCTTTTACTTCCATAAAATTCATGTCTTGGGTGACAAATCTCAAGCAGAATAGTCCTAAATTTTTTATTAGACTCTGCCACCTTAGTGTTGCTGTGCTAACCGGGAAAGCAACACTGTTTGCCTCAACATTTTAAAAAGCAGCTGGCAGAGCCCATCTAGAGAGATACTGTCTATCTTCTGTTGTCAGCTGTCCCTCAAACGGGCCTTGCTACATGGCTTGGATTGCTATTTGTTTTATGGAGAAAGGCCAACAAAACGCAGAGTTTTGTTTTAATATCAGATCATGGAGCACCATGTTTACTAAAACTGAGAAGCTGCAGCTGAAGTCAATGTTCTTCTGTCAGCTGGATCCCACATATCCTGAGACGTGACTGGTTTTCTTAGTGTAAAACAAACAAAAAACAACAAAAAATAGACTCTCCTGCAAGTTTGACCTGATTTACTCCGTAGGAGGTTCCCCTACAGTCCCACAACGAGTGCTTTAGTTTCACAGTACCACAATACGTAGCTCTAGCTTTTATAACACAGAACAATTGTCACCATTTCTTGTTAACTGTTTACTGACAATAAATGAGAAGCTGTTCGCTATCTCTATTGCCAAATCAAGTACTCTGAAGTTATAAAAAAACAGATTTGGGACCCCTGTAAAACCTAGGTCTTGTCTGCTTTCTTCACATCCCTTTTAGACATATACCTAGACTCCTGTAGAAAAATCTAGCTCCTACTTGAACGTAAGCAAAGATTGCACCATGACACGGTGCAAGCGCTCGCTCCGGTGACAGGCTCACTGCTGGATGTGCACACCGCGTGCCGGAGGTCTCCTCGTTGGGGACAGGCTGCTTCCTCCCGCAGGAGCTGCTCCGCTGCGCCCGGCCGCGCGCCCAAGACTCCTCTGGAATGCGCGGCCCGGGGAGGAAGCGCCTTTAACGCTTCGCATCTCGGGCCAAAGGCAACAGCCGCTCACAGGATGAAGCAGTGGTACTTCTGCAGGCCGCTGCGCATTCAAAGGCCTGCCGATTGCTCACAGCAGAGGCTGCAGGCGCTGTTTGTAATGGAAACTGCCGGCCTCGCTGCTGGCTCACGCTGCAGCCGCAGCTGTGAGCACATGTAAGGCCCCACATTACATAGCTTTCACCTTACATCCCACTGGCTTAGGAATGAGCAGGAAAGATGGGATGGGGCAGGACAGAAGAAATACAAACTTGAGCAATCATTGCCAAGAGGCCAACGAGACGTTTAAGGAGACAGTTAGAATCTGGCTCGAACTCAGCCCTGCATCTTTCTGTCCTGAGCGATTCTGACTCTGCTTTCCGCAGTACAAATAGCTGAGCTGCAGATTTCTACTCACACGTAGCAGCTCAGCATCGACCCTCATTTATCTGCAGGGAAAATGTGCTTGACATTCATTGGAAACAGTTTTGTAGCTCATCAGAATAAACTGCATTAGAACGATGTCATGTTACCAGACAGTAAAAGCTTTCCTAAACCCAGCTCTCCTCGGTCCGCCTCGAATACAGCAGGACTCCTTCCTTTTGTACTAAACAGGCTGGGACCAGCAAACTCCCTTTCACTAACACAAAAGCAGTAAATCAACAACGACAAAACCAGAAAGCAACCAAACTGCTAACCCCTGCCCCCAACGAGGCTACAAAAAGCTGTCCGGGCGGATCGGAGGAGCTGCAGTTACTGGCGCTCCCTCAGCAGGGCCCCTCAGCAGCCCTGCCAAGAGCACAGGCCTGCGAAGGCAGAGCTGGCCCCGATTCCCCCTCCTAGCTCTTATTACAGTTTCACTGTCACCCATTTTACAAACCACACAACTACACATCGCTTTGCATCAGCCACAGCATATCAATACGATCTGTATATATTCAATCATAAATTCATTTATAAGCTAAACACACATGCTTTTTTTTTTTTTTTTTTTCTTTTAAGGAAAAGCAAGAAGCAAAGCCCCAGTAACGCTGCCAATCGAGCGGCACTGCCTGCACCTCTCCACTGGCCTTGCGAGGAGTCCTGGGAGGTGCCGTCCTGTCAGCCTGAGGTGACAGCCCTTTCCCTCAGCAGCAACTCTCTCATGCAATTGCCTTCTCCTGTGCCTCCTGCTTCTATAATATTACCATCATTTCTGATGTGCCACTGTCAGTTTGTGAAACAAAGATAAATCTTCACTGTGCTCAACAAAAGAATCCAAATCACAGTGAAATGAGAAGCACAGTCCAGTAATTATATTTGGCCTGGCTGATTTTTACCACATCTTATTTACTTATCACGTAAGTAACCTCTAAAAACACTTTAAATAGAAAAGAATATTCATGAAAAGTGCTGAAGGAAATGTGGAGCAAATTATGGCTAGAGAGGCACATTTCCCTCCCCCTCCATCTGCTTTCTTTGTGTAAACAGCTTCATGTATCTGATGTTACTGAACCAGAGCTCCTCAAAATGGACACGTCTCATCTATTGACAGTAAACAAGCTTTTACCCATCTGAATGCGACAACATGCACTTTATTATTCACACTTAGGAAAGCTGCCAGTTGTACTCCCTGTCCAGGAAGTCTGAATGTTTGCTTTTCTATCTCCATTTGCCAAATATAATTGGTTGCTATGTCAGTTTATTTTAAATCAGATCCCATAAAAAGGAGAAGTGGGGGAGGAGAGATGCTTTTAACTTCTCAAATTTTGGAACATTTTATCCTGTTGGGTTGGTACACTGTCTGAAGAAAAGCACTCTTTTAAGAGACAGTGGTGATTGAATCCATGCAACACAGTGTTGAGCTTATATAGTTGGGTAAGTTTGCTTGTTAACTAATCAAACTGTGTATGTTCTTTCTTAAGCACAGTCAATTGTCCCCATTAAGACAGACATTGCATCTGCAGATATTTACACAGTTAAAATTTGAAGGGTTTCCCCATCCATGTATAACTGCATAAGTTTTGTTATGCAGAAGAACTGCGTAAGTTCTTCTCAAAAGCCCCAAGTAAATCTGGGTCATTGTAGCATATCTTCCTCATTTTCCCTTTTTCTTGGACTCTCTACACATAGAAATAACACTGCTGGGGAAAGCTTTCGGTCACCTTTCAAGTCCTTCAATCAACTGCAGAAAGGATTTAAAATAGAGGCCTTTGCCAGAAATATAGGCTAATATTCCTCTTAAGTTCTAACAACCATGGCTTCCTCCTCTCTTTCCCCCTACCACCTGTATCTTACGACACCTGTACTCCACAATGGACTGTTTCAGAGATTCTGGAGAACTCTGGTATGCTAACAGAAATTCCCTGGTTGTTTTCACTACTGAATTCAGCAGAAGTCTTACACAGGGAAAAAAAAAAAATCAATAACAAAATAAAACAACCCCCCTCTCCGCGACAATCCTGGCTCAATTTTTTGAGATAAACTTCTAGTTACTTTGTAGTTCTTCTCTCCTATCAGTTGCTTGGGGTTTTAATGCTAACAATCTATTAAGATGAACAAAGGAGCTCATTCATGCAGTTTCCTCCATGCCAGAGCCAGTCTCCCAAGAGAAGCTTACTGATAAAAAAGTGTGTCAGCAACCCTTCTCCCTGCTGGCCAAAGGGTGTTCTTTTACTGCACTGCTTATAGAGCTACAGCAGAAACACCTTACTGTGCATCCCAACGTGACATTGTCCACTAAAAACAGTTTTGTCCATGCTCAAAGGCTTCCTGCAAACTCTTAGCATCATCAAAACACAAATTTAGAATAAATTCCTATTTTCCAGCTTCTGTTCTAAAACACGGATTGGAGACCCAGTGTTACTTAAAACAAAAGCTGAGATTTTACAGCACAAAATTCAACGAAGAATGCATTCACTAAGTGCAAAATACAGCCACTTTGGGCATGATGCTAATCACCCATGTTTTGCTTTTTCGTATTTTAAAATAATCTTCATCTGATTGAAATGATTTCGCGTCAACTAGATGATCTTGTTTGCCACAGCAGTTGTCCCCTAAGAGACTGTCCCCGCCAGAGCTGCAAGTTCTGCCTTGTTGATACAAGTTATTATGCATGGAAAAACTGTGTGCATAGGAACACCAGCCGACTTCAAGAACCCTTTGAAAATCCGACTCAGATAATTTTCTTATCTCGTCTGTGATTCTCTGATCCAATGAGTTACAGCATTCTCCTCCTTTCTTCTCTTCCCATTTACTACTCTAGCCTTTTTCTTCCCTTATTTTTCTGCCCTTTTCTCTATTTGTACATGGTAACTATGGCTGGTGTAGTTTGCTACTATAATTCTTACAACAGAACTGGTGTAAGTCCCACTGTTACTGAAGGATTTATTATAGTAGCTATCCAGTGATCTCATTATATTTCTTGTCATGTTATGGTACTACATCATGTTGTGGTACTGCAAAAAGTTCAGCACAGTTGATATTTGACATATAACATGCATCTACAGATGTTTCTATATATGAACAGAGATTCAGTATCCATGAACACAAGACCAAACAAATTTAAAAACTATTTACAATTTTCTTTCTTTTTTTTTTTCCCTCCTCTAATAAAAGCAACCTATTTGGAAATACCATCTCAATTTACACATTTACCCATTCGAATAGCACCTATGCTCCTTCCAACTACTGTTTCAGTAGTATGTGAGGCAGCAGTATACTACTTGCACAGATTATCACAACCTTCACAGTTTACATATTTGCTTTGAATTCCAAACAAGCTTCAGACACAGCTGATGCATTCAGGAGCATTAAAGTGCTTATACAGAGTTGTACAGCCAAATGGAAAAAAGTGTTTTTTTTTTCCATATTAACATAAGCTCCTGGGTCATAATATTTACAGAAGCTCTGACCTGACAAGGCCAGATTCAGAGTCCTACACACTTCCAGGAGGTTATGGAGATGGAGAGAAATCCACAGCAGGCCAGGGAGAATTTCAGGCCCTTGGAGCTGCACAGGTTGGGAGCAACCTCATGCTCTCCCCACCTTCCAAAGCCCTTGGCAGGGTCCTGCAAGGTCAGGCATGTGAAGAGCTGCGAGTCTGGCGTGTTACAGGGACCCCGAGATACCCAGAGCACCCATGGGCAGCCAGGGTCAGATTCTGTGCCTCAAGATCCCATCTTGGGATCTGCCCAGTCTTGGTCCTTAACCACGCTGCAGATTACATGAACAGAAATCTGCCTAAACTCCCTCTTCTTCCTATTACATTATATTCCCAGTAACATCATTTATTATGGAAGAAAAGCTGTTACTGAAAAATTATCTATGCATAAAGGTTGCTCTAACTCAGCCACTCCTGGTTATTCTTTTTTTAAACAATGCAAATTATTGCTTGGACATAAGAGAATGGAAATCCTTCTTTTATTTTAGACTTCTATCCATTTTTTTCTAACTGCTGAAGAATAGAGGGATAAATAAACAACCTGGGGCATAACATCGATATAATCAACACCTAAGAAATATTTTCAAATCTAGTTTGAATATTGAAAAAATGTGTACATAAATGTGGCATCCTTGTAGTCATTTGGCCCCTTTCATGTACTTATGCTCACCGAGTTACATCAATCTAGTTTAGTTATATAAAAATGGTCTGTGAACCAAAGGGGATCCATTAACTCAACTGTCAACTAAATTCCAAATACAGAGATGTTACTGATGATCATGCACAAGCCAGAAATACTCTGTTTTACTCTCAGGTCCCAGGTGAGATTTCAAGGCTAACATTTAATATTCTTTTAGCAATTTTTAACATCATGTTCATAAGGCATCATATGTCCCTTCAGGGAAGGGGTGTATGCGCATGTGCTGATACATACCATCAGGCTCAAGCGAGGAGTTGCTGGAAAACACCCTAATAAGAACGGAGAGCAAAAGAAGAGGGCAGGACTGCAATTGTGGGCACCCCTTCTCTGCCTCCCCTCCTTGCAAGGTTCAGAGCAGGCTGCATCCCTGCGGGCAGCTCTGCAGTGAGAGCCCCTTACTTACCCGTGTGGGAGTAGATGAACCACAGGGCGCCGGTGAGCAGCGCTCCGATGACGAATGCGGCGAAGGCGATGCCCACCACCGTGACGGTGTCCAGCCCGTAGGACACGGCTGCAAGGGCAAACGGGACACCATGAGGACTTCTCACCTCTACTGACAAATACAGTTTGATAAAGCTTCGCCCTAGCGCTTGCATGGATTTCATGGAAAGTTGCGTTTCTCTCTTTTTCATACTAAATTAAGTACCATTTTAAGGAAAAGATTAGCAGATTTGCATGAAGAAAACCAAAGTGAAGCTTTCAGGGAACATGAAGAACTGTTCCACATCACAAAGCAAAACCACAGCTCAGCATACCCAAATCCTGAAAATACGGCAGAAATTAAGCATGTTCAGCTGGCTGTTAATAACTTTCAATTAATCTACCATTTAACTGAAAAATATGCTTAAAAAATCTGAGATTTTGGAAAAAATATGCTTTTTATTTCAATGTCCTGACACTCATGCAAACCTCCCCCATCTCCTGCAACTTCAGTTTGAAATCTAGGTGGAGAACGGAACTGCTCTTGAGAGTGAATTGATGCCAGCAAAAAAGTCAGCAAAAACATAAATAGAAACAATTGTTTTTCACATTTGGCAATGCTTTCATTAACTGAAATTAATTCCAGAACACAAAAATAGAAGCACACACATACAAAATCACTTTCTAGGGGAGAGGCCCTTTACAGTACCATTTGAATGGTAACAGCATCTGGTTTCTGGATGTGTTGTGCTGAATGTTAACTGCCCAAACAGAGAAACTTCTGCCTTTTGTGGGTTTTTTTTTTTTTTTTTTTTTCCTTTTTCTGATTAGAGAGACTTCAAAATCACTCTTCCATCAATCATTTAGGAAAAAAATTTCTTGCAAAATTATTTTCTAGTTTCAGTATTTTTAATGTCTCCCAGTACACAAAATGGCTTAGACCAGTGAATAACATTTTACTGACTAAGCTGGTCAGGAAATGAACAAACTGGATCTTTTCAGTAGTATCTTTCAGTGGATTTCAGTTCTCTAAACACAACCAACACCCTAGCTATACACAAATAACTAGAAACCTTCCTGCATCCAACTGATATCCCAATGGACAATGCACAGCCTAGCAGCTCCTGAGATCCTCAGTGCAATTCCCTTTACAACAAATGTATTTTCCTGTGAGTTCCTGTTGACAAGGTCCTTGAGGACCTGCTTTTAAGTGCCAGCAATCAAATCCTCATGGAGATGGAGAAACTCAGCCAAATTAAGGCTAGTTTTTTTTTTCCTCCTATTACTTACATGAACTTTTTTTTTTACTTTTTTTTTTTTTTAAAGCACAAGACACCAGCCCAGAGTCCTGTTCTCTCTTACCAAAAAGAGAGTCACATGGAGACAAGCATAATCTCTCATTCTTTTTGCTATTTTGAGTGAATTTAGATCTGAGTCCCAAAGATACAGGGAAAAAAAACTAGCTTCTTCCCATTTTCCTTTCTAATTTCCCCATGTCTCCATTCACTCTCGGTTTTAATTACAGCTCTTCCTTATCTTCCTGTTTTCTTACTGCCTTTAGTAACTTTTCTTTCCTCCTCTCCCCTATAAAATCAACTTGTGCTCTCAAGCAAGGCGGTAGCATCTGCAGTCCTGCAGTGGGGTCCACATACGTGTCTGTCTGTCAGACACTGAACACGAGCTCTGGTGGAGCACGAGCAGCACCAAACCCAGAGCAGTCCAACACCCCAGCACAAGGGGCTGCATTGCGGATAAGGGCAGCAACTGAACCTAGTTAAAAATACAGTTCACTTTGGAGAAAAAGCAGAAAAGAAAACTCAATGAATTCAAACCAATTCACAGATCTCATCTACAGCATGACCCACAGGTGTTGGTGCCACACGTGATGTGGCCAGCTGCTTCCAATAGTGGGAATGAGCCTTGGGGTTGGATACATGAGATGGCAGTGGTTCCAAAACTCTTGTATTGAGAAGCTTTGGCCTTGGCAGACAAAGGGGAAATAACACACACATCTGCAAATTAACTCCCTCAAGGCCAAGACTCTCAAAGCCAATATTTTATCATAGACATGTTTTCCCAAGTGTGATTTTCACATACACAAATGATCACGGCCTTTCTCTCTAAATGGGAACATCCCTAGCAGCAGTACAGTCAGAATTCTGCTCTGAGCTAGAGTTTAACAAACACTATAATTCAGAAAGTGGAAATATAATTTTCTTTGTTCATCTATTAACTTCTCAACAAAATTTTAAGACTTAAAAGGTTTACTTACGTGGCTGTCTCACATTTGGCTTTAGAATGGATGGATCTGTTTTGAAACGAAGAAACATTTATCAGACAGAGCTACATATACAACCTAGATAATACGTACGCAACCTTCAGGATCTTATCTAGTAGAAAGACATTATTGTAACTTTTATAGACTAGCAACTTTAGGAAAACCATTTTTGAATTCAATAACCTGCATCAGCTTATAAAAATTCCATTTATTTAAGATTCCCTTTGCTTACTCTTCAGAGGAACATATATGTGTCTCCAGCACAGCCCAAGCAGCAACGTTTTGCTGGCAGATGTGCAGCCTTTGCAGTGCTCCCCCCGCAGCTGTCACCAGCTCTGCCCTGTGTGCAACCGTGTGTGGAGCCCGACCCCACGGCCAAGCTGCTCGGAGGCGACTGCCCCACGTGATGAGTCCCCAGTCACAAACAGGGGATACCAGCTTGCTAAATCACCAAAAGGTCAAACAATGACTGTCGCCTCCAAAGAAAAGCAGGCATTATGATATGATAGATTGCTAAAAGGGTTAAAGTTACAAAATGTTAAGTGTTAAAAAACGAAGATTTTTTTTTCTGTCCGTTGCTTTATTGGCTTCTCTTCATCTTTCTTCAAGACTGCCATCTCAACTAGAAGAGTCAGAGACCCTGCTTTCTGAACCTGTTTGGAGAGCTGCAGTTTGCTTTCTGATTGCTCAGTAACTTAGGGATCTCATTTAAATTCTGGCATATCTGAGCACATTCAGTGCATCACCTGCAAAAGGATTTGATGAGACAATGTCCCAATGCCTGCTTTTGTATCTTTAGCCACTGAAAAAGTAAGTCTAAGTGCTAAGTAAACATAGTAACTATAAAAACAGTAACTGAAATGTATTTTTGTTTAGAGTGTTCTTTTACCAAAACTATGCTTCTAAATGTTCAAATTACTTTACAGTATGAAGAAACAATGAAATTGCTAGGCATTTCAGAAGAACACCCATTTCCTAGCATTTAAGTGACTATCTATATGCCTTCCACTGAAGTTACTAAAAAAAAAAAAAAACCACTGAAGTACTACAGTGCAAACAGAAGCAGAGTGACAAGCTTAAGGCACTTCCAGTAAGTTCTACTGCTATAATGTAAGCAAATGACCTGGTAAGCTACTATAAATTTCTAGTAGAAGAGCTATTCTCATATAGACACACAATTCTGATTACAGTCAATGAGAGTCACAAGCTTGAATAAACAAAATGGACACCTCTGCAAAGACTGGTTTCTTCTGACTTTCAAAACGTTATCAACACAACTTTGAGATGAGAGCCTGCAGCAGTAACTCAAATAATATGGCTTACAACAGCAGAAGCTGTCCTGTTTATCCAAAAGAAAACGAAGAGCACCACCTCTGTGATGGGAATTCTCCTATCCAGTAACGTGATATAATTTCTCCTCCAGATCTTCGGTTCATATATTGGCTAGCAATGACATTTAGCTTTTAGAAAGGGGCTGTTTGATTTAGTGCAGAACAACTGCACAGCAACTAAGCTACGTTGTTAATATGCCATTTTGTATTACATCTGGAAGCTGGGATATGCAGGGACATTTCCATCAAACATCCCACAGTTGGGCTGAATCATCCGCAGTGCAACAAAACGCTCTATTGCCCTGTTGTCTCGTAACTAGTCTTTATAAATTTAGCTCGTCTGTACACACTGAGAGCTTGTGCTCCCCACAAAGGCAACATTCTAGGAGAAGTCCGAGTTGGGAGCTGCACACAATGGCCCTCACATCCGAAGGGAAATGGAGCTCACAGCATAAGTCTGTTTATTGAAGGATGAACTTCAGTTGTAGGATTTACTCATTCCCAACAGAATAACCACTGAAATAAAGTGGGAGCTCTGCAAAAAGGCAGAGCACAGAATCAGGCCCGAAGCACACTTTTAATTACACCACATTTACAGATGAAATACTTGCTTTTAATTCTTTGAGGATTTGATCTGCGTTAAGCAGAATTTTCTAAAAAACACAGACCAACTTGCAGAGTTCAATACAAATAGTTGCTGCTTGCATCCCTTAGCAAGGCTGCACGGTGCTATATATCATTTGGAGACTAAAAAGCATGTGCTGCACAACTGAGGTTACAGAATTTCTGATCCTTATTCCTTAATGCTTTCGGAAAAGCATTCCAAAGTTTCAAGTTTCCTGGCACACAACTGGGTGATTCTGCGGTCCATGTAAAGCCCCTGAAAGTTTCTAATAGCTTAGAAGACCTGAGAGGGTTCTAGTCAGAGAGTAAGGCAGCCTGTGGCTGAACTACTCAGGCCCAAGCTGAGAAGGGCTCCTCATTCCTAGTTACACTCTTAATCTCCACAGTATTCACTGGAAAATTAGGAACCTAAAGAGAAACCAGGGCACAGATACTTGTACCCCTGTCTTAAATGGGCTGGTGATCATGTCACAGGAACAAAGAGTTCTTAAGCCAGCTTAAGTCATTTCTTTCATGTTGGTAGCACTTCAGAGCCTTCTAAAGTCCAGGTTCTAAGGTTTCCTATTTTTAATGGTTACAACAACAATTAGATAAAAAAAATTCATTAGAAACATCAGAAGATGAAAGCGTCACTCCCTCTGAAACAGATGTAGATAAAAGGTATTTAAAAACCCCTACACAAATAAATGCAGCTAAAGCACAGCTAAAAGGCAAGTTGTATAATACCTCAAATGTTTGCAAAAACTCTTAAATCTATTGAAAAGACAATCAATGCAAGAATAACCGCAAACTAGAAAAAACAAACAAGCAAATAAACAATAACCACACAATCCCCCTCACACATATTAGAATGGTCAAGAGAGATCCCTATCTCAGTCTGTTTCTCCTTGTTCTCTCCCTGACCCCATAGCTTGCCAAATTGTTTTCTTTTTCCTTTTTCATCCTTCTTCCCTTCTTTCTCCAGGCAGGAGGGGCTGTGTACCCCAGCCTGGCTTGCTCAGCTGCCATCCCAGCAGGAACAGGGGGTGCTACCCCAGCAGTGGTGGGTACTGGTGAAGGGCAACACCTAACGTGCCCCTCATCTTGCCATCTGAGAACCCCTACAGCTTCCACAAAGCTGCTCAGTTGAGTATAGTCTTGAAGGCTATATAATCAAAGAAGCCTCCCCAGCATGGAGCTGAGATACCTCTCCAACTCTCGTCTCATTTTCTTCATGTTCTGATAAACTAACAGGTTGCTTACCACCACAGGAAGACAGATACTGCAGGGAGGAGAGCCCTGCTTTCCATCTTTGAACAATAATAAATTGCTGAAGTCTCTACATTGTTGTATTCACAAGCATCAAACCCATGTTCTTGAGCGGTATGGTGTTTCTTTCCTAATGCCTGGCAAAACCACTTTTCAGAGGTCAAAAAAGATGACCAACAATAAACAACTAACAATAAAGAAAATGGCAACCAACTACCACGACGGTTACCGTCAGGGAAAAAAGTCTGACAAACACTGTGAGATTATGCAACTGCACACACTTAGAACACACTTTTTTACCTCATTTCAATGGGTTGCATGCTACATAATAATAATATATATCTTAGAATGCATTTGCATACCTTCTTGTTTTACTTCATAAGTTACTACTGCGAGGGGTTTGGTGAAGGTTTTCTTGTTATGCATCATGGCCAAGATCATATCCACGTTGAGCGAGGTGCAAGCTTCATCAGGAGGAATGCACTGCAGGTGGAAAAAACTGTGTGTGAGGTCAGAGATTCACTCAAACTATCTACAATGTCTGTAGAAGCAGCACTAAATATTGCTTGCCAAAGAGAGAGAACTGAATGTTATCAACAACTTAATGAAAATTAGCTAGAAAATGTCTTGCAGTCCAAATGTCCTGTAACTCTTGGCCTTTAAAATCTTGAGCCCAAGATGCCCATTACAGCAGTTCAAACTAATCAGTTCTCACCAGAACTACTATCTGAAATTTTTCACCCAGCTAAAAGATCTGATAAAAAGAAAAATTACCTACATCAGAAGTTTATGCAGAAATAAATTACTGACCTTAGGCAATCCTTGAGTATCTTTGTCTCTGTTCGTACACAAAGTCAGCTCGCAGTGAAGAAAGAGCAGGGAGATGTTGAATATTGGTTTAAACACAAAGCTAAACCGTTTTTTATCCTTTTGTGCATGTGGTATTGGAAAGTTCACCTTCTCGATGCTGTAGAATTTAACAGATTCATCTTTTGGACAAATATTTTCTATAATGGTGTAATCAGACATTCGATCCGGATTTGAAAATGGGGAAACAAAGCATGTTTGAATGGCAAAGCCCAAGGACCTATCAGCTTTAGTCACAGAAACCTGCAACAAAGAGGAAAAGGTGGTAAGATCTCAGAAATTATATCTTAAATCACAGGTTTCATTAACATTTTCAACAACTATTAAGCTGTTTTCCAGTGCCACTTCCAAACAAAACTATTTTGAAGGCTGAATATCCAGGGTCAACTATTAAAGTGAAAGTCAGAAAATATTTGGTTTCAAAAGTTACTGCTTAACAGCGTAACCATGCGCATATACAGCCATCTCTTACCCTTTCAAAAACAGATGAAAAATCCAATCTGGATCTGTAATATTTAGTGAATGAACGCTACTAAGGCCTGAGGAGCCTGGGGAAGGGGACAGTGTGGCTTCCCTTGTAAACATACAATACTACAAAAGTAATTAGTTACATAGTCTTCGTATCTGTTTCAAATTTTACTTCAGGGAAAAAAAGAAAAAAAAAAGAAAAAAGGAAAAGCAGCACACAACAAAACCCACCCCCAGCCAACATAGGAATGCAGAGGCAGTCGAGGTCATGGTCTGATGTGTGGGTGGCATTCCTGGACTGAGGGGAGAAGGCAAACTACTGAAAAGCTGTAATTTTTTTGTGCAATGATCCTTTTAGTTTATTGCAAGTCTGAAACTCCTATACTTTTATGAAAAGCAACTATGGCCACAAACTTTCAGGGCACTGATGTTTTTCAGCTGAACTGGAATAGAGACAAGAAGGGCCCTCCAGTAATCAGGAAAAAAATGAAACAGAATTTGTAACAAATGAAGCATGTCCCTCTTCAGAGGCAACAGGAGCTTGTGTCCAATCATTAACAAAGCATGATAAAAAATAATTTTCCTAGCACAGATGTGCCTTAACTATGTACCTAATCCGTATGTGCTTCATGTATATTTAATGAAGAGTCTGTCCAATTTTCCTGTGGTCTACAAAGACCATTTTGGGTGCTATGAGTTGTGCAGAGTTCCAGCATTTCTTTTTTTTTTTTTTGGTCTTAATTAAAGAGTAATCAAATTGGAGACATAAGTGACGGTCTGAAGCATTTAAGCCAAGTCAGACCACCTTCTAAAAATGCAGAAATAGACAGTGATGAATGAAGACCAAGCCATGGATACTGACAGACAAGCAGGTTGATGGTGTAAATTAGTTATAGAACTAGTTATGGGGATTATGGTCATGAATTATGGCGCAAGAAGTTTATTGATTATAGTAAGTAAACATTTTAAGAATAAAAACAAAACAAAAACACAACACATCCTTTGTGTCAGTTAAAGATGGTATCACAGAAGTCTAGATATGAGACATTTTCCACTGTTCAAGAAGAAAAAACAAGAAAAAACTTGTGCCAGGACAGGTGATGAAGAAATCAGAACATCTGTCTGAAAAACAGCTCCAGCACCAGACAATCCAGAGGGCTTGGAGCCATAAGGAGTCATCCCAGAATGCTAAAGGAAGTAGCAGATTTTGTCCAAATGAGAAAATCATGTGTCTTTTATAAACATATTCTTACCGATTGTGAAATGCTTCATTTTTGCTTCAACTTTAGTAAGTAAACAGCATTGTGTAAAGACTTTTAGGTAGAAGACAGAGAGGCAACCGAACATTTACAGAACACAAAATACACTACCAGCAACTAAAAGTCACATGTTGACACTGTTCCCAAATCTACTTGCTGTGGTAAGACTGCTAAAAACACCTAATCTCTCTAGAGAGGCCTTCACTGATGATACAGATTTCTTTTTAGTTCTGAGATTATTGCATGGTCAAAGTTCCTGTTATCTCCCATTATTGTTCAGCTAGTATTTTATTCAAAAAAAGGAAAAAAAATGAACAAAAAACCAAAGATGTTGTCTTTCACTGTCTATCTGCTAAGAGGTCTGAAATAAACGCAATGATTTTTTTTTTGAAGGGTAGGAAGCAGAAAATGGCTCCAGGGAAAGATAACATAAGAGAGCAGGATTGTGGGAACAGGAGTGGGAGAGAACCATCTGGGGCTACAAGACCCCTACTTCTCTAAGCTTCCATCAGACAGTATCTTGGCACTGTAGAATACTACAGAGACTCAGAAAAACTCATCCATGATGAGCTCTCCAAACGAATCTTGTCCTTCTTTGTTCAGAGAAGCAGCAATCTTTGTACTGAGAGTTACACACTGAAACAATGATGCCCTAGCATCAAATGAGACGCTATCCTTAACCTGTGTAAGGCAGGCTCACAAAGAAACCAGCCTGCGCAGGAGAAACACAGGCCAACACTGTTTGAAGGACAATGAAGAACACCCATTTGCCTGCCTTACCACCCCATTGCTCAGAGACACCACAAGCTGTATTAGCTTTGTAACCTGGGAACACCAGCACTTAAGAGGAAGATGCTTGTCATTGCTTCTTGCATCTCTATAGCCTTCAAATATGCTTCAGCTGTATTTCTCAAAACAATATCCCAAAATCCCCCCCACACCCTGCAAAATGTCTTCACCGATTTGAAAGCCATTTGCAGTTATTTACCTCTACATATATTGGCCCATTCTCAGCAACAGAAAACAGTTCTTGGGATGGAGCAAGGAACAGATCTGTTTTGTACAGCTCCATGTTGAAGGTAACGTTGGTGACGTGTCGTTCAGGAGGCCAGAGCATGGAAGGACTTAAAAAGGCTCTATCATTCTCCAGCTGGTTCAATGTGCAATTAAACTGAAATAACAAAACAATACAAACACACCTGGAGTCAGGAACAGCAGGTAACTGGGTAAGGACAAATTTGGAGCAAATAATCTAGGTGCACTCACACTCCATCAACTTTGTAGAACTTTTCAACAAGGTCACAAGGAATAAGTGAAAAAAAGTAAAAATCAAATTAATTAATAACTTAATTTCTATGGTAAGTGTACTACAACAGGCATTTCTCTACTGCCAGGTGCAAAACCCAGAGTAACGTACCGCGATTTCAGGCCAGCTCGAGAAAGCAACATCTCCCTCGTCGGCATCTCCTGGAAACCCGTTATCCCCTGACTCCAGGTCGTCGTCATCGGAGCCGCTGCTTTCAGCTGGTGATGACAGCTGAATGACAATCTGCACAAGAGGGATTGCACACACACAATTAGGTGCTAGCTGAGCACTCCATTCAGTTATCTTCTTTCTTCAGAAAAATGCAAAAGTCTAAAGGAGGGAGTCAACTAACCAGGTGGGAAAGGCATGTCTTAAACAGCCCTGTGTTGAGCAGTCAAGATGACACAGGTTACACTTTAAAAGCCACAAAAATGCTCCACACAGTGCAAAGGCAGTCTGGGTGCTGCCATCAAAATGAGCACGAGACAGTCCCACTTTATTTCTGCTATTTCTCTAACCAACACTGGTAAGAAATGTCTTTTTTTCTGAAGTGCTTTTTCACACCTTATAACTTTGTTGACTCTCTCAAGGACAAGCATTAAAAGTTTTAGAGTTAAAAATTTTTTTCTCTCCTCCCCTCCAAATGCTAAAAGACACCCTACAAGTTATGGGCTTTGATATGGGTCTCTTTCTAAAGTCAGGTGCTATAGACTTGCCAGTATGGAAGAGCTTTAGACGGGCAGGTTCAGATCAGATTGCCTTAGCTGTGTTTGGGTTGGACTATAGACTATTCTTCATCTGCCAAGTTACTTCAATGCGCTGAAAAGCCCAGCAAGAGAAACATGTCATTGCTTCTTAATGCAGCTTAGCCGCGATGTATTCAAGTTCACCAACAGGGCCAGTCCAGAGGCAGTCTCTTGGAATCTAAGTAGGCTTCCTACTTCATTGCATCATCTCTTACACACAAGTCCTCAGAGGCCTTCCCCACAAACATCAGCTGACAGCAAATACAAAGTACAAAACAGAAGCATGTACAGAATGTACAGATAATGCCTTTTCCTCGCATTTTTGAGTTGTTTCCATCCCTAATAGAAAAAAACACCTGAAATAATTCAGCACGAATATGAATTAAATAATACTGCTCTGTGCAATCAAGACTCTGTTCCTGTCCCACCTTTCAGCCATACAGCTCTGTTTAGTGGCAGATACAACGACGCTGCCTAGGTCAAGCTGGGCAACTTTTCTGAGAATGGTTCAGCTGGTCCCCAAAGTGCAGCCATGCAGTTTTGTAAAACTGTACGACCCACCTCCTCCTGCTTTCTTTGGGATGCTATCCAACCACAGGCACACTGAAGGTGCAACCTTCACACAACTTTGAACATAGGGACTTTATCAGCAACTACATGTGAGCTAGACAAGAAGATTAAGATACCTCCTTTTTGCTAAGACTTGCCAAGTACAATGGCTTCCTTGTACCACTATGACGTGCAGCAGAAGAGAAAAGCTGCTCTTTGTAAAATACTCACAGAGTTAAAATAAACAATCTTGTCCAAGATATAGGCTGTTCGAGTCCCGCATTTGTTCGGCAAAGATTCCAAAATGAAATGGGTACCATTCATCCTGGCCTTGCAAGAAGGATCCAGCAGTGAGAGCTCTGTCCTTGTGTAGCCATTAGCCTGAAACAAAAACGCTTTGTAAGTGGCTGGAACCTCAGCTCAAGTACAATTGCAGCAGATCATTGTGCGAAGGGCAACTTCGAATACTCTTTACGACTACGGGTAAGAGGAAGTGAAGTTCATTGTACTGAGATCTAGGGAAGGTCAATCTCAAAATGCACATGACAGAGGGATAAATGTAACATGGAACACAGAAAACAACAGGATCATTATTAGTCTACTGACATAAGCTCTACTTCATCTAAAATGAACTAAAAAAGCTCTACGCTGTATCAAGCTCCCTTCCACAATACAAATGGCAACAAGCATTTCACAGCTGGTAGACAGCGAAGGCAAAAAAGAAAATACCACATAATGGATGAGGACCAGAGTTCCACCCTCTAACCTTCTGTTCCCTTAGCAGGGAATCTGTGTCTCTTCACAGATTCATTCAGGTCTTGCACAGCTATCAAAAGCAGGGACTTTGGGGATTAAAAACTCACACTGATGGTTAAGTAGAGCAGTTTTTGACAGAACTATCCCTGCAAATCTTTTACCAGAAATATCTCTACAAACTGTGAAGACAGAGAATGATCAAGAACTCTGGCCAATAACTGGGGGTCGGAGGGTGGGGTGAGGTGACTGTAAATCTTGGAATATTCATTTTCCACACAAAATACATCTTAAATGTTTTATCAAATCCTACTACAACATCACACTAACCTGCAGGGAGTCTTTCTCTACAGCTACTGTCATGACTTTGTCATCACACTTTATGGATAGAGCTACATTAGCACCACCCTGAACCTCCTGAGGTTCTTTGTGTTTTGGGAGGGAATGCACAAAGTCATGGTTTATTAACGCGTCTGCTGAATCTCTGGATGGGAAGAGTCCCTCTCCCACTGTGCCATGTCTTCCTCTGTTAATGTGAAAGGGAAAAGCCAGGCCCTCGCTCAATGCAGGATTCTTTGGGGCAGGCAGTGGACTAGCATCCAACAGTTCTGTCAGCTCTGGAGGAAGGGAATGGACTTCTTCATCATTCATCTCTTCTAAAAACAGGAAGGAAAAAAAAACATATTAGATCCTTTCCCAATGCTGTTCAGAATAGGCTCATTTCTCATCTCAATATTATCCAGAAGGCAAGCTCTTGAAGGACACCAGAAGCAGCATATTTGTACTTTCCAGGTAACTAGGCACATTTCCTGCACTAAGGGTTTAGCTGTTACTGAGGCATCTAATCTTGGCATATTTATTTCCTGCAACAAATCTGTATCACTAAGCACTGAAAACCAGCCTTGAAGAGTGAGTCCCATGCAAACAAAAAGGCAGCCATGAAGGTAAAGGAAACATCACAACCAACAAATGCACCATTTTTGTGCGGAGATAGCACAACTTCTATTACCTGCCAGCACAAAGACAGGCAACTCCACTATTGTGGAAGTATTTACAAAACTGGAGTGAAGTTAACATCAGAGTTAACTGCATGCTGAGTCACAGCACTTATTCCCTGACTTGCAAACAGTACTGCTCAATATTGAAATCTTAACCTCTGGCTCAAGCAGATAATTATCTGCAACCCGTAAGGGCACCACTGATAAAGTGAACATGATTATAAGCTTTGTAAAAAACAGCCAAACAATGTTGTCCATGTTCAGAATTAGTGCAAAGAGATGCAACTCCTCTGGCTTCAACCTATCAGGACATCTTTACGTCAGCAATGTCTTTGGCCAAATTATTTTTTTATGGTTGTATTTATTCCATTTGCTCAGACTTTTCTGGGGAGGCATTTTTGTCTGTAAACAATTTAAATGTTTATTTAATTGAATTAAGGAAACACTGTGTTCAGATTTTTGAAAGCCAAAGCTGGATTTATTAACTAACAAAATATCATTTAATTCCAGGGAATACTGAGTACGGTTGGCTAAAATGGCTTCTGAGTTGGACAAAGTTTAACTATCCATTCCCTAGCATTTCACAAACAAGTAACACTACTTGCTTGGAATTTTCTAAGCAGAAACCCACAGATATTTTTGGTATCTGGGGGGCATCAGCATCATTGATGTTGAACAGTGAAAGTAATACAGGCATAAAGGATAAAACCTGAAAATTAAGGTTTATACATCTTTTTTTGTATATGTTTTTTTGAAGTCTACCTTCAAACTTACCTGTATCTTCAAGTTGCAGATGGAAACGATTAGCAACAGGGGCTTTTGTGTAGGAAGTAACAGGGCTATAGTTATGCTCATAAGCCCACTTGATCAAACTCTCATGTGATGAGGGAATATCAGGTATTATTGATTTACTCATAGTCATGGATCGTTCTGTTTCTTTTCCAAAACCAATACTATTTGATGTCTGCAAACAAAGGAGAAAAAAAATCTGGTTCATGATTTACCACTTAAGGACATTTAAAATGGAACAGTGGTACTGACTGCTCATGCTTTGCTGACAAATTTCACTCTGCTAATAACAGCAAACAGATCATCTGGGAAATAAACTCTGCCACCTTGGCCACAGAACTGCTGCTCACATGCAGAAAACCACAGCCCTTCTCTTCCCCCTCCCTCCACCCTCTGACAGGCCCAACTTATTTTATGCAGTAAAATGAAGCAAAACAGCCAGAAACTGTCAATTCCTACATGAGAAAAAGACATATTTATAGTCATTTCTGTAATGCCATATTTTAATTTAAAAGCTGTTCACTGAAGTGAATTCTGAGTTCCAACAAAACTGATTTTTCAAATGTTCTCCCTCATTTATTTGGACAGGTTGGGTTGTAACTTTAATTACATCTGGGAAAAGTTTTGGACAAACCAGCAGTACTGAAAAGGGCAGCAGGACCCAATTCATGAAGTGGAGCCGATGCTGTACAATCAGCTGCAACTGAGGTTACTCTACGCGCCACTTGGTGGGCTTGAGCCAGTAAATACTGTGCGTGTCCTGCAAAATGCTCAACATGCTAAACACCACTGTCGTAAACGCTGCATACAGTGGTGAGAGTTCTCAACTTTTGCCAGCATTTAACTACTTGAAAGACAATATATATTTCTACACATTGAAATTAAACTTTATGGGCTATGGTATTTTCTTCCAATACACTGATACAAACTCACAAAAATACACTTGCCTTCTAAGCTTTATTATTTTATGCATTATTGCTTATTGAAAAAGCAGCCATGAAAAACAGACAAGTCAGTTAGCTTTCATTTTACTATGACTTTTGCAAAATTTCTATTTTTGTTATCCAAACTGCAAGTCAAAAGGATACTGCAGACATCTCCAGCTGTCAGGCGGACACACACAGAATATTCACTGGTGTTACACTAAATTTTAAATGTTTAGCATCTTAAACACTCAAGGCTAAACATGTAAATTTATATATCACCACCTCAATATTACTCTTACCACAAAGCAATCACTTTCACAGCTACAGAACAGGCTGAACATTCTCAGCTCACTAAAGGGCACAATGACCCACTTCACAGGGATTCCTGCAACGGGACATGTACTTTCTGCATGTGGATTATATCACTTCACGCTGCACAATCAACACTGTTGCTTCCATGGCTGGTTATTTTCTCCATTCTTTATTTTCTTAATCTCTGTTGGTTTCCCTGTTATGTTATCAAACCTTAATCCTCTCCTGCTATGGAACTTTGAAAGATTTACAGCACTGATCCCCTTTTTTTCCAGCTCATTTTTGGAGACTGGTTAGACAGGCCTTCTACTTAAGGTTAAAAAACAAGGTTACATTTTTGTACTTGCTTCAGAAATACTGCTTTGAACAAAGAAATGAACAAAGTTTATAGCAGACCTGACGAAATGAAATAATTTACCTCTTTCCCCCTCTTTCCCTCCCTGCCTCATTTCTTCCTGACGATCCTATCCCATGTTCTGTAAATATCCAAAACTTCAGAAGTTCAGGTTGCCCAGTGTGTGCGGCTTGTTACTACTTCTGTCACCAATGACCAACAAAGGCCTTTGAAGATGAGAAAAAGCAAACAGGAGGTGTTCCAGTTACACGGCCTTATTACAGTTTTGGGTCAGACAATCTTTTATTTTTCACCGATACAAACCTGAACATGATTTACTGCACATTTTCAAACTCCCAGAAATGTGACTGGTTGGAATTAACACTCGGGCCCAGTTTTGCTG